ATGGCGGTCTGCGCGGCCTTGCTGTGGACCGCCTCTGCGCAGCGCGAGGGCTTCCACGGACACGCTCACGAGGACGTTCACCACGGGCACGGGCACACGCACGAGCACATTTGGCACGGGCCTGGCCTCGGAGAGCCTGCCCATGGCCACAGCCACGCCCACGGGGGCCACGGGCACACGCACGAGCACCTTTGGCGCGGGCCTGAGGACCACGGACACAGCGGACACAGCCATGCCCACTTCCACGAGGACCACCACGACCACTTGCACAGCCACGAAGATCCCGCCGGTGGCGCCAGGCGGGCGAAACCCTCCCCTGGGCACAAGGAGGCACCACCCCGGAGGGAGAAGCTGGCGCCCCTGTGGCTGTGGAGCTACGTGAGTGCGGGGCTCCGGGCTGGCGAGGGGCCTGGCCTTGCAGCACCCCACTCCCTGCCACTGGGAAGGAGAGTCCTGCAGGGAGACTAGTAGGGCTGATCCCGAGGGCCAGGTCTGAGTTTGTGCAGGAGCGCCAAGCCTCGTGGGGCACCAGCACAAAGCCCCTGGTCTGGGGGCTGCCTTCCCGTTTGCCTCAGGACAAGGAGGAGGAGGGCTCTGGCGGGATCCTGGGAGCGACCCCGCGGGGTAAGGGGGAGCTGCGTGGGCTGCAAGGCCGTGGGAGGATTGCCCGTCACTCTGCCGCCCCAGGCTGGTGGTCTTGAGCTAGAATGGGCCCCTGGGTCTCCAGGGACAGGGCTGCCCTCTGTGACTCCTCCCCTGCTCTCTGCCCCTCCAGGCTCTCGGGGCCACCCTCCTCATCAGCGCTGCTCCCTACTTCATCCTATTCCTGATCCCTGTGGAGTCCAACAGCCCCCAGCACCAGGCCTTGCTCAAGCTGCTGCTTAGCTTTGCCTCGGGGGGCCTTCTGGGGGACGCCTTCCTGCACCTCATCCCTCACGCCCTGGGTGAGTCCCCTTGGCTTAGCAGGAGCTCCATCCTGTTGAACTGAGTGGCAAGATCGGGGCCTCGGGGGGCACCTGTGGGCAAGGTTGTGCCCCCCAGGCTGAAGTCTCCTTCCCTTGACCCTCTGACCTTCCCCCCTTGCAGAGCCGCATGCTCATCACGGAGAAGCCGCCGGACATGGCCATTCCCACACCAAGCCCTCTGGCCACGGGCATTCCCACCAAGGTAGGGGGGGATGCAAAGTTCTAGAAGTTGAATAAGCAAAACTCATTTATTGATTAATTCATTAAAGTGGGTTTGAGTCCTCCGAGTCCCCTTTTTCCCAGATGGCGTAACTGGAGGGCAAACGGGGCAGATTGAAAGGTCTGCCTCTTTTTGCCCGACTCCCTTCTTTCCTCCGCCTCTGAATGCTCTTACAGGGGGATCTGTAAAAGGAACACCTCTCCGGGCCTCTGAGCAGTTCCAAGAAAGTGCCGCCCATGGTGTCCCTCCCTCCTCCTCCTCCCCACAGACCAGGAGCACAGCAGGACTTCAGCCGGGTTCTTGCTCTTCCTTTCTTGACATCAAGGGCCCGGCTCACACAGCATATAAACCCAGGTTTCCGCCCCCATTGCTGAGCCCCTGGAGAGATTTGCTTCCCTCACGTGAGCTCTGCCTCTCCTCCTCCTTCCAGGGCCTGCACATCAACACATGATGGCCGTTGGCCTCTGGGTCCTCAGCGGCATCGTGGCCTTCCTGGTTGTCGAGAAGTTTGTCAGGCACGTCAAAGGGGGACACGGACACGCTCACGGTGGGTGTGGCTCTGCCTGGCCACAGCCCGGCTGCCTGGCTGCTTTTCCCTGGCAAGTTCTTGGTGCTGAGGAAGGACGAGGAGCTGGGGAGGGCACCCCGGGTGTGGGGGTGGATCCTTCCAGGATCTGCAGCCCGTAGCAGCTCCAGGTCCTGTCCTCCGACTCCGCTTCTGGGGGGAAGAAGCCTCTGGCTTATTTTGCCACAGAGAGATGTGGGGAAAGCAGACGAGGGACCCACCTGCGTCGCAGAGTCTCTCTGTTCCAGGCGACCGGGGAAGGCCCCTGCGGTCCTGTGTCACACTGTCTCTTCTACAGCGCCCAAACCCAAGGGCAGCGACGATGAAGGGGAGAAGGAGGCGGTCCGAGGGCCAGCGGGGAAAGCAGCCCCCACCGGGAAGAGAGGGGCATGCCCAGAGTCTGGTGAGAGGGCTCTGGGCTGTGGGACGGTCATGTGGATTTGCTGCGGGGGAGGAACAGGGTCCTAACTGATCTCTACCCTTTTCTACCGCCAGCCATGCGCGTGGCAGGGTACCTCAACCTGGCCGCTGACTTTGCCCACAACTTCACAGATGGGCTGGCCCTGGGGGCCTCTTTTGTGGCAGGCAGCACCATTGGCGCTGTCACCACCCTCACTGTGCTGCTCCACGAGGTCCCCCATGAAGTGGGCGACTTCGCCATCCTGGTCCAGTCCGGCTGCACGAAGCGCAAGGTACAGGAGCCACCTTCCCGCCCAGATCTGTTTTTTTGCGTGCCGGGCTCCTCCCGTATGCTGCAGGAAGGGGCTCATTCAGCAAGGGCCCTTGGAAGGCCAGCCCCACTGGGGTAGAGGACAAGGGTGGCGGCTGATCCTTTGACAAAGAGAGCACAGTGGCCTGGCAGGGTTCTACTTCATCCTCCGCTGACCCGTCTCCTCTTCTGCCCAGGCGATGAAGCTGCAGCTGCTGACAGCCCTGGGGGCGCTGGCGGGCACAGTGTGCTCCCTCCTGGCTGAGGGCGTGGGCGAGGCAGCCACCGCCTGGATCCTGCCCTTCACAGCTGGGGGCTTCATATACGTGGCCACGGTCTCAGTGATCCCGGAGCTCCTGCAGGAGTCGGGGCCAGTCCAGTCCCTGCTAGAGGTGCTGAGTCTGCTGGGTGGCGTGGTCATGATGGTCTTCATCGCGCAGTACGAGTAGAGAGGAGGCGGCGCTGCTGCTGGCATCAGGGAGCAAGGGCATCTGGACCATTCCTTCCTGCGAGAGCGTGGGCACTCTCAGCAGTTTGCGCGGACCACCTTGCTCTGCTTTCTTGACGGAGGAGACCGGCCATTCCTCAAGCTGCCCCTGCCCACGTGGCCACCCCTGCTCCAGAGGATTCCAAGGGAGGCCCGGCTGTGCTCTGCTTCTGGCCTCCAGGGTGCTGTGGGCAGCAAGGGGAGCAGGAAATGGGTCTGGCCATCCGGAGGACCAACTTGTCTGTCTTGAACTTCTCTGGGTGTCCCACCAGGTACCCTGGGAACCAGGGTCCCTGTGTGTGTGTGTGGAGGGGGAGGGGGAGCCAGCCAGTTGGGCACTACCTTGGAATTCTGTGGGGAGGGCCAGGCAGAGAATTTGTGCAGGCCGCCCATCTTTCCGCCAGTTGGTGCGGGCACAGATTGAATTTCCTCCCCTCTGTCTCTCTGTCTCTGCGCCTGGCATGCTGTGGTAGAGGGCCCGAGGAAAGAGAGGAGAGCAGACCCATCTTGGGCACAGAGGCGGGGGGGGGGGGGGCCCGCCGGGAAAAGCGCCCGGGGGGGGGGGGGGGGGGGCCTGCATGGAAATGCTAGCTGGGGAGAGAGGGAGGGGGCCTCTAGCCCTCTGGACAAGTCTGGCCAGCAGGGGGTGAGGGTAGCATAGGGAAGGGATGTGTGGTATTTGGAATGAGTGGGAAGAGATGTTCCAGCATAAATTTGTTGGAGATATCTCTCCTCGTTTTGCATTTTTATACAGTGGTGGGGTATAATTTGGGGCGACATTTGTACCAGGAAGAAACGCAGATGATGACCAGGCAGGAGAGAGGACCGTAGCCCGGAAAGCTGCGCAAGGGCCCCCCCAGCGTCCTGCCTGGGCTCAGCGGCTGCCTCCGTCTCCACTGGCCCTCTTGCTCAGGGGCTGCTTCGGGGGAGGACCCTGAATTCCTGGGAGGACGGTTAGTTAGAAGCGGGAAAAGTAATTACTTCTGCAATAAACGCATCCAGATTCAGAGGTGGTGGCGTGTCGTGCTTGTGCTCCAGATGGGCGCCGAGCGAGCTCTCCCCTTCGCGGCCCTCCCTGATACCCCTCCGACTGTGTTCACGCAACACTTTCAACCAGCCGCGGGAGGGACCCAAACTCCGGGTTCACCTGGAGGGCGTCGAGCTGCTCCTGTAAGCCGGTCCAGCCTGCCCGTAAACGCGGTCGCCCCCTCGGCATCGAAAGGAATCCGAGCGGCCCCCGTGGGCT